CCCTCCCGATTTACAAGAAGAGCTGCCAGCACAGGCTCAGGGTGGCCCAAGCAGAGGCTGTGCAGGGGCGGAGGTCGGAAGTGGTGCTCAGGAAACTCCTTGGAAAAGCAACAACAGCAGGAACAAGCGTGCCTGGCGTTTCCTGGCACTCTGAGATGAGTGTTCCAGCCCAGCTCAACAGGGAGGGGGGAATGGAGATCAGCATGGCCACGGCTCAGCTGAGCAGGACTCAGCCACCCTCTGCCTCCCTGCCCTGCGTTGGAGCAGTCACTGGTGCCCCCAGACACCCATGGCAAGTGCCAAAGCAGGAATAGGGAGAAGGAGCATCCATGGGATCACACAGCCCCCGAGAGCTGAGCCAGGAGCCCACAGCAGGACAAACACCAGCACTGGGAAGTGGCTGAGCACCTGTGCAGCTTCCTGGGGTGACAAAGGGTCTCCCTGCGGCTCCATGGCACCATGGGGGCTCTGGCAGTGCTGCCATGGGGCAGGGGGAGGCAGGAGGGATGGGAAACACCCTAGGATTTCCCTGAGCAAACACCTGCCGGTCCCAGCTCCAGCCCAGGGATCCGAGGAGGGACCAGGCTGCAGCCAAGTGGCCACACACACCCGGCCCAGAGGAAACAGATGCCACCGGCCCATCCCAGGCATTTCCTGGCCCTGTCAGGGGTGCTGAGGGATCTGCATGTAGCAGAGGCTGTGGGATCACATCCTGCCCTGGCTCTGCCTCCATGCATCCCCCTGGATATTTCAGTTTAGAAGGAGAAGCAAAGCGCAGAGCAGAGAGCCAGGGACCCTTAGAGCAAGGGAAGGTCTTGGGACACAGGAATGGGATAGGGAGGGTGTGAGTGGGCACAGAACATAGGGAACAGCTGCTCATGCCCTGGCAGTGACACACACAGTTACAGCAACAGCTGTAGAAATCAGCACAGATTTAATGTCAGAACAAAACACCCCAACATCTAAAGGCTTAGTGTCCCTGCACAGCCATGGAACGGGGACCAGGCTGTGGAAAACAAGGGAAGAGGGAGGGAAGGGAGAGTCTGACCCCTCTCCCTGCCCATCAGGACGGTCACTCCATAGCCAGCTGCCGCTGCTGCTCCAGGAGGGATTCCAGGTGGTTGGCTCTCTGCACAGCTGCCTGCAATGGAGCACATAGGGAGAGCTCGCTGTGCCCTGGGGCAGGGCCAGGGGCTGGGGGCTGCCCCCTCTCTCACCTCGTACTGCTTCCGGAGGCTGCTCACATTCTCCTCCTTCCTCAGCACTGCTGTCTTCACCCTGAGATGGACACAAAGGGGCTGAGGATTCTGACCCCAGAGCTCAGCCCCAACCACAGGGTTGAGCCTGGCCCGGGGGAGTGATTTCAGCCCCAGAGCTCAGCCCCTCTCGTGCCCTAGCCAAACCAACAGCTTGGGATCAGGGTGCTGTCACTCCCCAGCAGCACCCTGATTCCCTCAGTGAGTGTTGTGTAGCTTGAGATGAGTAATGGGCTGGGCTTGGGCTCTCTCACCTCCTATGAACCTCCTCCAGCTCCCTGTCCTTCTCCCGCACCCCCCTGTCCAGCTCCAGGCGCTGCCGTGCCCTCAGCTCTGCCATCTCTGCCTTCAGCCGCGCGTTCTCCTCCTCCGTCCCCACCAGCCTGTCCACGAATTCCTGCCGGATCACCTCTGCCAGGCCACTGCGCTCCTGGGCCAGCTGGTCCCGCACCTGGGGCAGGGCACAGAGGGACATCAGGCACGGGGCAGGGCAGGGGATGATGAAACCAGGCCAGGCCCTGGCTCTGCTCCTCACCCACCTTCCGGATCTCCTCCACCTCCTGCTCCTTGTGCTTCAGCAGCCCCTGCAGACGGCTGCTCTCCCCCTCCAGCTCGGCCAGGCGCCCCTTCAGCTCACTGCAGCGCTCCTGCAGCTTCCGCTCCGACCTCTCCAGCTCCTGCAGCTCCACCTCGTACTTGTCTCGGATCCTCTTGATCCTAGTGGGAGGAAGGACAGGCAGTCTGGATTATTCCAGTGCTGCAGGGATCATTCCAGTCCCCTTCATGACCAGGGCACAGCAGCAAAGGGGGATCTGCCCCATGGGACATCCAGGGCTGTTTTGTGGGATGAGAGGTAAATTTCATCCCTGCAATCGACTCATTCCTCTCCAGCTGCTCCAGAGATCGCTGGAGAGATGCCCAGAGGACAGGGAAAGGACCTCCCATCTCCCTCTCCCCCTAACCTGTTCTCTGCTGCCCTCTCACACTCCTCCTTGGCTGAGGACGTGTCAGCCTCCAGGCGCTGGATCACCAGCTCAATCTCTTTGTCCCTCTCCTTCCTCATCTCTTCCCGCAGCTCCCGCTCACGGGAGAGCAGCCAGGCTTCCTGGGGACAGAGATGGCAAACGTGGCCTCAATCCCTCTCAGAGCCCACAGGTGGCACTTTTGGAGAAGGGTAGCTCTTGCCATTACCTCCTTCTTCACATAGTTGGCCTCCCAGGCTTGCTTCTCCATCTCCAGCTGGTCCTTCAACACTTTCAGTTCTGCCTGTGAGGAGATAGGAAAACACCAACTCAGCCCTGGCAGCATCCCACAACAGCTGAGAGCAGCCACTGGCACCACCCCAGTGGGGAATGGGGCTTGGTGGTGTCAGCACCCAAACCCAGCAACCCAGGACTTGGAGGTGAGGGGAAACCAGACCTGGTGGCGCCTCTCCTGCTCCTCCTTCTCCTTGGAGTACTCCTCCCGCAGTGCCCGGGTGAGGGCTGAGCTGCTGGCCTCCAGCTGCCGCCGCAGCTCCTCCACCTCTGCCCGCTGCCTGCACAGACCACAGCTCCCAGCATCCACACTGCTCTCTTCCCACTGCATCCTGACCCAGGGACCCCATCCCCGTAGCTTGGGATGCCCCCAGTTCTGGACTACAGCCCTCTCACCTGGCTGCTTGCTGGCTGAGCCTCTCCTTCTCCTCAGCCACCTCAGCATAGAGCCTGCGCCGCTGCTGCTGCAGAGCTTGCTCCTCCTGCTCCAGCTGCTGTTCACACCTGCAGGGCACAGATACCTCAGGGATGTGCCTCTGGGCATTCACCCACCTCTCCACCCTGCCCCATCCCATCCCTTCCACGTCCAGGCTGATGCTGGAGCATGCTTCCAGCTCAGCAGCATCTCCCAGCTGGTGGTAGGAAGCTGCTCCCCATGGAGCTGGAAGCACTGGGCACCCCCTGGACACCATGAGCTGTGGGTGCCAGCGTGCTGGCACGACTCACCGCTGCTGTGCCCGCGCCCGCTCCCGCCGGCTCTGCTCCTCCTGCTCCCTCTCCAGCAGCCCACGCAGCTCGG